AAAAAACTACTGACTTTAAAAGCGCTATTGCGCTTTTATAAACAGGACGTGAAAAAATACTGTAAAATAATGCGTTCATACAGATTGGGACTTATTTGCAAATGTAGGCACCTTTTTCATTGTCAAAAGCTGATTTATCTAAATTATAGCTTCAATTAAGTCTGGTTGGTAGTGAAGTACGATTTCATTTGAGTTTTGTAAAAGCGTTACCGCTTTCGTCTAATATGGCGAACGATTACAAGGGCTTAAAAAATTGGCTTTGGAAAAAGCCTTCAAATATGCAAAACTTGCAGGTTGTAGTCATAATTACCCACAGCGTGAATAATCTAAGCACCCTCTAGGGTAATGGTTTAGAGCAAAGCCATAATACATACGAATTAAAAACTATACAGCACCAGTCATAATCTTAAGGTAAGACAGTGTGATAGAAAATGTAGCCGATTTTTTTGGATGTAAGGAAGTGCTCGAAATTTAAACAATCTAAGGATAACTTTTATAGAGAAACTGCATTGCTTTTACGCGCAGCCAAAGAAAAATTGAAAATGTGGGATAGCTCATACCCCATTTCCTCAATTAAAAAGTTATCCTAATTAGACTGAAATTTGTCTAAATTAAAACAAAAACCTTTCTGTAATTTTTTTAGGCAGAAAAAAAGGCATCTCATTTCATGGAAATGGAACTCAATTCAGTTGTTGATGTTATTGAAGAAATATGCTTGACTCGATCTTAAGGTTTGTTGCAGCGAAAAAAAACCACAGTACCCTCAGATTTTGACGGCTGGGCGCCTGTTAAAATAAAATTTGCATGTTCATTCATTCGCTAGCAAAATCCAAAAAGGTTCTGTTATAAAAAAAACTGCAAAATCCTTAATCGCGACTTTAAACTCTCATGTTACTATTAGGCAAGAATTAAGATATGAACAACGAAAAGAAGCAACGTACGTGGTTTAACGTTGAGCCTACTAGGTGCTGAATCCTTAGGATGACCGCCAGGTGGAGTGTAGGTACAAATATATTCTCCTTCATCACTCATCAGTGTACTGCTGATAGCCAGGACTCCACCTTCATCCGTTGCCCCAAATGGCAGTGGAGCGCCATCGGCACGCTTCCATGTAAGAGCTGCCTCTGGGTGACCATCAACCCAGCACCTTATGCTTGCGGGATCGCCTTCGGTCACTGTTTGTATAGGTGGGGAAATTTCGGGACCTCGCTCAACTGAAAGGGAAGGATTAAGTAAAAGGCTATAAAGGCACATGAATTTCAAAATATAACATACCGGCGCTGACGTCTGGCGGCAGTATTGGCGTCGTGACGTGAACAGTGGCAGGAGGTGCCTGTGCTTCTTCGCCAGTCCTTGGATCCTCGGCCGAACAGATATAGTCTCCCTCATCAGAGAGTGCGGCTCGATTTACGGTGAGAATGCCTTGATTTTGCTCGGAGTCGTCGTTGATTTCGCCTTCAGCCTTACTCCATGTGAGATGCACATGCGGATTTCCGGGAACCCAGCATCGGATTCGGAATGGAGAACCCTCAGGAACGGACTGCTCAATGGGGTCTACCTGTGGCGCTAGCCTTGACACTGAAAATACGTCTTTTTTGGATTTTTATAAGAATTGGAAGGAAACTCACGTTGTCGAACACCAATGTGTGCTGGTGGAGCATCAGCACTGGCACCTGTTCGCGGATCCACTGCCGTACATACATAGTGCCCTTCATCAGATTTC